TCCCCCCGGGTCACGTAGTAAAATCATATTTTGCCCATTTCCACCTGAAAAACAGCGCACAAGCTAGGAAACGACGGTTTATGACTTTTTGAGTTGAAATACGAGATATGTACTACATCAACAAGTAGGGAAGGAAAGAATTTCAATTATTTGTTTTCTTCTGCAATTTTTTTTTACCATTTGTTTTCGTTTTAGGAACAGGAACAACAGCGAAACTAGCATAGCTTCAGAAATTTTAAAGATACGGTGAATCCGAAGACAATTGTCGATTTAGAATGTGCTGTTTAGAAGAACACCCTCTGTTATTTTCTGATTTGGCGCCTCCTTGTACGTCTTTACGTACAGCGTAGTCATTTTCACCGTATTTTCGTCGAAAACCCACTCAATCTCCCAAACGGACAAAATGTTAGTCGAATGTTAGTCGAAAGTTGTATCGTTAGACTCGAAAAGTTGGAGAAAATACAATCTGAAGCCGGCCGCGCGGGTCCCGCGCGCTCGTGCGGCCCGGCGGCCCGGGCCAAGCATTAGAGTAGACCAAGAAAAACTTTTTGTAAAAATGTTTAAGTTCACATTGCCCATCTCGTGCCAATCCATAAAAAAGGCTCTCAAAAAAAATTTCAGCCAGATCGGACAATATTTGACCCTCCCGAAGTGGGTTCAAAGTTAACATTAGTTTCTTATAGGTCATCGGGCCAAAACGTTACACATTTGGCCTGTGGCTCAAACTATCAATCGCAGAAAAAGGCCGTTATCAAAAACGTGATCTACGCTAAAAACCGAGTCAGACGACATGCCGCTTGTCAAAATCCCCCATCTTGTTTAGATTTTTAAAATTTGATAAAACAACCAAAAATAACACATTTTAACGAAAAAACGATATTTTTTTTACGGAGGTGTTTGACATTGACACACCGAAGGCCGGCCGATCCGAGCCGAACACAGATCCGAGAGTCGCGGCGCACCACAGCCGCTCGACGGCGTGGCGCGAACCAAGACTAATTCAAATATAAGTTAATTAACTTAGTTAAGTTAAGTTAGTGAAATAGCGTAAGTTATTTCACTTACCCTTTTCCAGGCCCGGAACTGCAGTTAGGCACTTCGTTTGTCCTCCTCATGGTATCTGTACCTGTTTTAGCTCTTATTTCAACAATTGCCCCTAAATGAAATAACATAATGTAACTAACTACTTTACTTATTTTATTTACTAAAATAGATCATTTCACTTCGGACAAACGGGCTTCGGACAAACGGGCTCACCACAACGTAACGCCAGCTGTCAGTCTTTAATCTTTTCAACACTAAATCACTTCTTACAATAGGAACTAAATCAACTAATTCATTTAAATTAGGTATAGGTGATAAACTAAAATCCAAAGATTGAACCAAATCAGGAGATAATCCTTTCTGAAAATCAATAGCATTACGAAGCAATATTTTACTTCGACAACTAGACAATTCCCACAAGGAAAATAGACGACGAATAGACGTCTTTAAGATGTCTATGTATAGATCGAAGATGGTCTAATAGACGTCTAGCAAAGACGTCTAATAGATGATCTAAGTGCACACTTTCGTTCCTAAATTTAAACGTCTATCTTATATACATTACCAGATGGCCCACTTTTTAACGCTAAAATATTTTCAAATTTTTATCCTTTACTTTGCTTATACCTTGTTCTTCATAGTTTCCCTTCTTTTGCCTCTCCTCATATCACTTTCATAGTCAAGTTTTACCTTATCTTTACCTGGAGTCTAACCTGTGACCTGCGTCTTGGAATCCCGGTGCCTTAACCAACGCTGCACTCCCACGAAGCAAGACACTACCAAGTCAGGTACAAAGTAGAATAACATCAGTATTTTTAACTTACAATTATGTTGATCTCACGTTTATTAAATGAACAGATGCACTGAAATTTATGCAAAGTTTCTAATGTCTGTTTTTCATCTTTCTTGGATGTTGTTTTAACAATATAATGTTTTGCAGGGTCTGTTCAAACATGGGAAGTAACGCCTGCCTCTGAAACTGGAAACATATCTTGTGCTTTAGTTAGCCTGAGCAGCTCACCTCAAAGTAATCTCACTCAAGAGGCCGTCACTGAACCAGGTAATAGAAAGAAAACAAATATCTACATACTGGCAACATTTCATGAAAGTGCAAGGTGTAGTTGAAAATTTTTAAACATTAAAAATGTGGTTAGAGCAGTCAAAATATGTCATGTCTGACTTTTTAAAAATCTATAGAAAATAATAGCTAGAAAGATAGCAATAATCTTAGCTTGTTTTTTTTTTACACCTTAGCTAAATTACTGAAGCAGGTTCTGGTTGAAAAAAATTGTCAGTATTCTATGTTTAAAGATTTATTTTTTTCCAGGTTCTCCAGATCAAGCAGCAAATAACAGTCATCAGACACCAACTAGGCCAAAGCAGTAAAAGAAAACTTCATGGTCACCATGGTTGATCTCTCCTGGTGGAAAAGAAGGTAAAAAGTAAAACAAAACTTTTTAGAGATTTTAAGATTTACAATTGCTTATTTTTAAGGGGAAATTTTGTGTAACTGGCACTCAGTTTGGAAACAATTTTTATTTCGGCTCTTGAACGGGTTTCCAAAAGACCAGCCCTAACTGCTGCAGCTAACCCATTAACTCAATCTCTTTTCCTTGATCTTTCTTTTTACCAATCATAATTATTTTTTTATTTCTAGATGTTTTTATGGTCAGCAGTGGTGATCAGTTTAACTGCAGTGCCAATAATTGCATCACAGTTTAAACTGCAGTAACAGCTTGGACGAAAGAGGAGAAGGACTGATCACTGCGCCGCGCAGCCGCGCGCCGCCGGGCGAAAAACCTGTACCCCCCCTGCCCGCCGCTGGGCAGCGCACCGCTGCCTACCTCCCAGGAGGGAGGATGCTCGGCGCGGCCGCAAAAAAGTCACAAAAAAGTCACAAAAAAGTAAA